TTGGTATCAATGCCCCAGATTAAACAGGAAATGTATGGTCATTCTCAGGCAGGACTTCAAAAGGGGCCTTCGTCGCAGACTGATCATGGGCATCCTGGAAAGACGCAGTCAGCTTTGTCTTCTATTAAACAAGAAAACTCTGGTTTGGAAAAGATGGAATCTACTTACCAATCTGGACCTCAAGGAGTAGTGAAGCGTCTCACACCAGGTAACCAACAAGTATTGAGTTACCATCAAGATTACATGCCATTAAAACATCAAAAGAAAATGGACAGTGCTGATCCTCATAGTACAGATGGAGCTAAACCACCTTGGACCTCTGCTATAAGTCCTGCAATTAGCCCCCATTTGCCATCTCCACCAGGCAACCATGTAGGATTTGTTACAGCAGCTGGTGACAGAGCTACTTCACATCTCAGTGGAGTCAAACAGGAACCACGGTCCCCACGCAAGTCAGGTCATCCGCACTCTCCATTTACTAAAGTGTCCTCACCCATAGGCTCCTCATCACCCAAGGGCATACCAGTGATGTTATCCACTGGCCTTCCTGCCATGCAACAGTTTATTACGGGTGTACATCATCCAGAGCAGTCTGTTATCATGCCACCTCACAGTGTGCCTGGAGGCTTGGGGCGGATGTCTCCACACTGTGTTACCCAATCAATTCCAGTGGGCCATCTTGTCCAAGGAGATGTTCGAGTCAATACTCCACCTCTTTCTGTTATGAGCTATGGGATGCATAGTGAATCTCTCGCCTCTCCCTGGTCTGGTCCCATGCAGCCACGGCCCTCCTCACCCCAGGCTGTCGGCAGAGACAAGGTTCTCAAAGTAAATCCTGGTTCTTTGAGGAGTCATGAGGGGGAACAGGAAGAAGCCAGACACTTCCACATGACAGGAAGACAATCAGCCACACAGCTAAAACCGGAGACTATGCAGTCTGATCCGCGTGGATCTCTGCGGAGTAGTGTCCAGTTGGAAACATACATGGCACAGAGTAATATTCGTGTGCTCTTGCACCAACAGGGGGAGCGTTCAGCCACAGACCCACACTCTGGACACATTCAAGAAACTCTTCCCCCCTCTTCAACACCTTCCAACATACCTTTGTCCTTGTCACCAAGATCACATGTTTTGCCTAAAGGTGTGTCTGAAAAGGATATAACAAAGCCATTAGATGCAAAGAGGTCCCACTCCCCTCTTCCTAAAGATGGAATGATGAGTATCCGACAATCTGGGCCAGCAATGGCGTCTCCCCAGAGAGTTCAGCTAATGCCACCGGGACCTAGTGGCTCATTCCCAGAATACTCGGGGATGTACCAAAACCCAAGAAGCATCCATTCTCAGATACCAGAGACGTCTCCTGTTGGACTTAACCAGCCACCACTGAATGTCACACCAACTATGGTGAGTTTACTGCTGTTAAAATGCCAGTTAAATATGTATTAAGCTAAAATTAATATGACATTCCTGCATTAAAAACTACAATCATGAAGGTTTTACTTATTTTTTTACTTTTGTGGACTTGTAAAGCATCAGTAATGCATAACAGCTCATCAGCACCAAAATCTGCTGCCTCAAAAATAATTATTCAGTTGAATCAACACCTCTTAAAACAATTTATTATAACATTATAAGCATTATAACCTTTGTGAAGGTAGAATTTATTGCATGGCTATTGTATTAGACTGCACTCAAATCCACAGTCTGTTTTGGTATCCTCTTGTGACAGATGAAACAATGCACTATTTTGTTGCATCCTTAGGGTGCAGACCTCCAGGCAAAACCAGATGGCAAGATGACGCAGCCTGTCAATATGGTGCAGTTGCTCACGGTAATACAGAAATTTTACTAACAATTGTGTCCAGGATTGTTGGGCTAAACAAGAGTTAGCTTTGTCTGACAAACTTGTCTTTGTTTTGTCTCATACTTAAATAGAAATACCCTATTGTGTGGCAAGGCCTGCTGGCACTGAAGAATGACACAGCTGCAGTCCAGTTGCATTTTGTCTGTGGCAACAAAGCTTTGGCTCATCGATCACTCCCCTTACAAGAAGGAGGTGCACTGCTTAGGATTGTCCAGAGAATGAGACTAGAGGCTTCACAACTGGAGAGTGTAGCCAGAAGAATGACAGTACGTGTGTTTTCTCTTACTCCTATTGAGTAATTTTCTGTTTCACTGAACTTTGTCTGTTAACACTTTATTTATTTTACCTCTTCAGGGGGACAGTGACTACTGTCTTCTCCTTGCGCTGCCATGTGGAAGAGATCAAGACGATGTCCTAAACCAAACTCAAGCTCTGAAGGCTGCTTTCATTAACTACTTGCAGACAAAGTTGGCTGCTGGTATCATCAATATCCCCAACCCAGGTTCCAATCAGGTGAGACATAATGGTTGATGTGTTGCACTGTCAAGTGCTACTGCCATTACTATGATGGCAGTGGATTTATTATTTATTCACACTGAAGAAAACTCACATTTCTGAGTTGTTCACAATTGTCAGTCTTCCCCTTTGCCAGATGAAAATAGTCTGTGAATGTGGAAGTTATTCAGTCTCAAAGCACTAATCGGAAATTGGTATTCTGGGGGAAAATAACATTAACATGCTGCTTCTGTACAACTTCCACAGTGTGGATGTGAAAGTGTTGTGTGCAGTAGTCAATTAAACCCAGCTGGGATTATATAAATCAACAAACTTCATGATTCCTTGCCCTTTCATCAGAAGAAATACATCATTTAATAAAAATCAGAAAAGCATGATACTGTAGAAGTGGTATTTTCGCAGGGAAATGTAGTAGCGAGCTAACAAGATGTGTAGGGTAGCAGCTCACTGTTGGCAGATTGCTATGTCTTTAGCTGCGCCTGGTCGTACCTTTTGTCGGCAAGCTGCTCAGAATGTGATTGAAACATAAGAATTTATTAATAATGGATATTTAGGAGCGACCTGATGGTCGAGTGGTTATGGTGCATATCATATGGGTGTATGGGCTCTGAGCAGCATGTCCCCAGTGCGACTCCTGGCCGGCATGTCTCTCCCCCACTCTCCCTCTCATATTTCCCGTCCGTCTCCACTTTCCTATCAAATAAAGACATAAAAAAAATAAAAAATAATGGATATGTAGTAAAGTAAAATTGAATTCATGGAGTTGAGACTAGTGGTTTTTACTTAAGTGTGTTTAGTGTGTTTGTTGCACAGAACAGGAAAAACATCCAGTTGTCATTAAATCTAGGCGACATTTTGTGGAAAGGTTTTGTAGATTATAATCTTCATTTTAATGGCATTTGATGACCTTGTTTTCAACATAACGAGTTCTACAGGATCTGCTGAATAGACTTATAAAACTGGTGAAATCCTTTACATACAGTACAGTGTGAAGAGAACAATGTGGGTTTTTCTTTTTTTACCGTTGATGGGTTGTTGCACAAACAATGCACATAACCAGGTATCAGATGTGTTGGTTCTCTTTAACTTCACGTGTAATTGAGGCTCTTGATTGTTTTTTTTCAGCCCGCCTATGTGCTACAGATTTTCCCACCGTGCGAATTTTCAGAGAGCCACTTATCCCAGCTCGCCCCCGACCTCCTCAACAGGATCTCCAGCATCTCACCACACCTCATGATTGTCATCACCTCTGTGTAACCTTCACTGCTGGGAACTGTCCCATGGATGAATGTTCTCACTGATGAGCCTCAGGAAACCAGAGGAATATGAGAACTTTTTTTCCCTGAACACAATGGGAATGTGTAGGATATATCCTATCAACACTTTTTGCTTTTTCCCATCAGTCCTTTTTTTTTCTTTTTTTTTTCTTTTGTCACTCCTGTCTGGTATTTTTGTCCTTCTCAAAAGAACTCAGGGATGGACCAAACCAGAATCAGTCTTATTTGACCATCTCTCTGCTGTATTTCTATTTATTGGAGTTTTATTTTAATGTTCGGAGATGCTCTGAAGAAAAATGTTTAATGAACAAGCGTGATTATTTGGGTGGCCTTTTTCTTTCATCTGTCTTTTATTGATTGTCATATTAAATTCTTCACAAGAGAGGATCATAGATGCTGTTGTACTACAATGGCTAAAAAGACATTTCAACATGTAATTTTAAATAATTATGTACAGACTTCCTCACCCAGGCTTTCTTTAGAGGAGGAAGAATTACATTGTAAAACTATGGAGACCCTGTAGAGGACCACGTTCGTTTAACAGCTCCTTTAATTCCACCAGCTCTGCTCATTTTCTCACACTACTGAAGCAGTTACACGTCTGGCACCTGCCTTTGCATTGAACAAGCTACAGTATGATTTGGGAGTTTTTGAATACAGGACTTTGTAAATATTTTAAATATTTAAACTTGACTATGAACTTGGACAACAGAGACGTGAAGTCTGGGACTTACCAGAACGCAGTGTGAAAATTTAGATGGATATCCTTGACTTTTGGGTGTAAATACTTGTAACACAAGAAGGTTGGCAAACTCTCCTGTGGAGTCTGCTGATGGCACTTCATATTTTGTAACTCAAATAAAACAAACTCCAGAAAACTTGAATATTTAATATATAATCCTTTATTTTTTTACGTTGTGTGTTTTTGGCAAGAATATTACCTTTTCTATTGAGCTATGCTCATACTTAGTTGCCTGTTTATTAGATATTACATCTTGCTAAAAATAATGCAGTTCAGTTCAACAGTCCTGCAATAAACCTTCCCTTCATGAAGGTTGCAATGTTAAGTTTTTGTTGAAACTGTTTTGCTTGGAGGTGCTGAATCAAGTGGATGATCATTTTGGAGGATGTAGTTTATGCTGTTGCTGAACTGTGTTTACAGAGAGGTGTTTTGATCATTTAGCCTCACATCATTGATATAAAAAGTGTGGACAGAATATCAGGACAACTCTAAAACAGTTTCAACACAAACTGAACATTATAATCTTCATGAAAGTAGGATTTATTGCAGGGCTGTTGTATTAGACTGCATTATATTTAGCCAGGTGTTCCTAATAAACTGCCAACTGAGTATATCTAGGTTTACATGAACAACTTTTTTTGCTGAGTGCAAATGGAAATGGCACAGCACCTTGTATAATTAAATAATGAAGGCAGTGATTGGCCAGAACAGTAACAGCAAATGAACATGACAGTGTGTATGTGCACAACAATTGCAAAAACTGTAACTAAAGTTACAGTGGAACTGAGCCACTGTTGCAGTTATTTTTAGGTCTGGCTGGTCAGTGACAACGTGGCTATTTGGGCAGTTCAGTATTTTGTTCTTGTGAAAGCTTGAGCTAATTTGAAAGTTGAAATTTTCAAACCAGGAGCTTTATAAAAGGATCTGATGAAAAGCTTCATAAAAAGTTATGACATTTTCTTGCGATCATCAACCAGTCCAGAATTTGAAGGTAAGGTACTGTATAATGGGTTATGAATCCCTCCCATTGAACTGGACTGTCAGTGGGTTAACTGGAGTTTCACCTGTTTGTCTGACTTCATTTGAGTATTACAGTTGCATAGATGTCCTCTGGGTGATTATCAGGATTGTCACATAAGAAACATGGTGTATTCTACTCACAACATATTTACCTCGTAGCAGCAGAGTTGTACAGAAACAGTACATTTTACTGCATATAAGACATATAAGACATGCAATTCTACTATGTTATACTGAAATGCTGGTAATGAATTTTGTGTACTAGTGTTTCAAGTCTACACTGGAGCCAAACAGTGCCACCAGCTGGTCTTCATACTGGGAGATGTTCCTCTTCATAATGTCCATACAGGGACCCAGCAAACGCTCAAAGGCCTGGATGTCAATTACTGAAAGAAAAACACAGACATTTAGAATTATATCGGCCCATTGCAGGCTTCTTAGTTTCAATAACAACATCGTCTAAATAGAGAGAAAAGAAGTTTGTGCACACATTAGTTTGCTGTCACACAATTGTCATAAAGTGTTGTAGAGGATCAATATGAGGTTAAACCGTTATGGTATTGAATTTCCGCAATGGGGGATCAATAAATGTACATCAACAAGATTTTGAAAAGAGAAAAAATATTTTTGGGGTACATTTAAATCATGATCTGTGGGTATAAGCCACGCCTTGACCATTAACCCCCCTTGTGTGTCAGCTTCATACAATGTGGGACATCTTGTTTTGTGAAGTCACACACTTATGCCTTTTCAAGCTCATAGATAAGAATAGGAATGGCCACGTCTTTATTTCTGTACTTCTCTAATGGAAGCATTCATGGGATTTTGGTTAATGTTAAATCAACTCTATCTTGTGGCTCCTGCAGATTTTTTTTTTGCCCAAGCATTCATGCTGTCAACTCCTGTTCCACCTAATCCCATCTCTGCTGTGATCTGAGGCCTGTGCACATCAGTGGAGGGAAGTCCCTGTCTACTTCCTGGAACCATCTTAACGTTTTAATATTTTGAGGTATGCATTTGTAAAAATTGAACTGTAGCACTCTTTTGTTGTATGAACAGAAAATGTTTTTTTCAGAAAAACATGTTTATATTTTTTTCAAACTAAGACACAGAAAAGTATATTGTTTTGGCATTTGTACTGAAATTATATCGTATCTGCACTTGTGGCAAAAAATTTGAAATGATACCCAGCTCTAGTTGTGGTCTTCCTTGTATCAAGAAAACACTTCCAACACCATTATAACACACACACGAGTCGACTTTGATTCAGGAGAAAATGTTTCCCCCTCTTAGTGCAACTATTGACCCTGTCCATGGACGGGTTGTGAGACAATGGGCCCAGGGCACAGACGTATAAAAGCCCCTCACCTTTTCTACACAGAGGGAAGATGCTTCGATTGAAAAAGTCACAAAACATTTTATTCTCTCTGTGTGATGGTTTTGTTTCTCTTTTTGTCTCTTTGTGGTCATTATAGATCTCTGAAGTCATTTTGCATCTCTAGTAGTTGATTTCCATCTTTGTGGCTGTTTTGCATCTCTGGGGTAATTTTATTTCTCCTTTTAGTTTCTCTGAATCTCTGTAGTTACTTTATTTCTCTTCGTAGTCAAACTGCATCTCTTTGTGGTTGTTTCATGTCTCTTTGTGGTTCTTTTGATTGACTTTTCAGACCAGAAATGTTAATAGTCACTTGAGGTGGAAGCTCTAGGGCCCCATGACCCCTCAGGCCCCTGGGCCTGCGCCATGTTGATCCATTCAATAATCTGTCTGAACGCTGACAAGCACAAACAAGTTACATAACAGCCACTGACAGTGTGTGTTTTTCAAGTTACTGTTAGTTTGTCTCTGCTACATCCCCCCTACATTCAACATCCCAACCGGAACTACAGCATCTTTCCCTGGAAACAAACTGCAGAAAGTAAATGTGTGTTTCTCCTGAAACAAACACAAACATACAGACACTCACCTAAGCATTTGGTTTCTCCCACAGCGTAAACAGATGCTGCTCGCGGTTTGTTGGTGACTAGTGCCAGTTCCCCAAAATACTGCCCTCTAGAGCAACGAGCCACCTCAACCTCTGCATTATCCTGCTGGCCAGCCTTCGTCTGCAACAGACAGAGGCACCTGTGAGTCCTGCAGTCATTTAGTGCAGCAACACCAGATTAGAAAACAAAATAAAACTAATTTATCACATCCACCTTCTGGCAAACACAAGCAAATTCATAGATAAAACGGTGAATATTAAGTTTTTTTTTTAATTTTATTTTGAAGAGACAACTGAAATAGATTCAGTTATAACAATGACACTGTGCTTACTTTGCTTTTTATCATGATCTTCACCTCTCCTGATTCCACAATGTAGAAACAGTCGGCCTTCTCCCCCTGCAGGTACAGAAAGCAGCAGAGACACCACATCCGTTAAGTCTAACCAAACCAATATTAAAAAATAACATACAGCAACAAATGTCCCAACACTGTACCTGTGTTATTATGCGATCTCCATCTTTGAATCCTCGTGCTCCCAAAACATCAACAATCTTCATTCTTTCAGAGAGCTTGTGACAAGACAATGAAGCATGGTGACAAAACAAATACACTGCTGCACACACTGTTTTTATCATTATTATTATTATTATCATCAACAATGAGCTAATTACATTAATTAATTTCCTCTAGGGGATGAATAAAGTATCTATCTATCTATCTGAAATTATCTTAAGCATAAGGATAAGATGACTGAATGTCCATCTATTAAACAATTGTTTTGTTTGTGTATCGGTTGTGTTTCTAATACAAACCTCAAGAGAGTTCAGAAGAGGAACACACTCGATGAAGGCCTCGTACATCCTCCTTTTTTTCGCGTTGTTTTTCACGATCAGTCTGTGAAATGTGGCTCGATCCTAAAAAAGAAACCAAAAAAAAAACATTTTGTGTTTAATCATCTTCAGTTCTACGTTTCGGTTTTAATCGTATTTCATCTGTTAGACTGGACTTCTTCACCTCAGCATTTACTAGAATCTATGTGGCAACATATTTAATACACTCCTCAGATAATACACGACGCTTTGGAGCGGTGACGGTCATTACCCTTTGTTGGACTCACCAGGCCCCACAGGGCGCCTTCATTCGTTGCAATGATTGTGGCAGCTCGTGGCGTGTTGTACATAAGAGCCAGCTCACCAAAACTCCCCTTGTTGTTGTATTTTCCAACACAAACACTGACTCCGTCCTTCTGCACAAAAATATCATACACACCCCTGGGAATGATGGGAGATACAGAGGGAGGGGGGGGTAGAGGTCATTGTCAGTCTGGCACAACTTACTCTAGTTTAAATATTATAAATAAAGTATTTGAAATCTTTCACTCACTTCTCTATGACATAGAAATTGTCCCCGTCGTCTCCTTGGTCTATGATGTGCTCCTGAGGTTTGACCAGCACCTCAAACATGGCGTCCAAAACCTCATAGAACTGCTCCTGGAGGACATTAGTCAAGTTTATGTGTATAACACCTTCCAGTAACAAAGGCAATTCAAAGTGCCAAATGTAAAGCATTAAGACATTAAAGACACTTAAATAGGATTTAATAAGAGGAAAATCAAGTGGAATAAAAGTCATCATCAAAAGGAGATTAGTTTTTTTTTTATCCTTCTTATAAAAACATAATAATAAATAAATGATCTGTTGTACCTGCTCCAATGTTTTAAACAGTAAAATGTCTCTGCATGCATCCTGAAGTCTGCGACGCTGCTCGTCTGTTTTGGGATGCACAACCCGAGGCTCTGCATCGTCGTCCTCATCATCATCAGGGTTGTACGCCTCTGCACAAACTAGAGCAGGACAAACGAATGAAAATACTGTACCGACATTAATTGATATTCATTACACAATCATGTTCCAGTTACTGACCTGAAACTCTGCGATTGTATTTGCCGGTGGTGGGCTCTGCAGAGAGAGATAATGGTGAATATATTTGACTAGATTTGAAGGAAGGTCATCCTATTTTTGTTACTTCTCATTTCTACATTGTACAGATTATTCTCTGCAAAAAATGTCAAAATGTGTGGGTATTTATTTGCATAGGGAATTTCTTTTTGCTCACATGGATATCTGCTTGACTACGACCTTGTAATTTGAAACTTTGCATCAAAACAAAATTTTTGTGAACTTGCAAATCTCAGCCTGCAGACGATTTCTCCATTTCCTCTGTGTGATGTCAACAGTATGAAGCTTTGTGGTTTGAAACATTTACAAGATGACATTTCTTAAAGTTATATTTTTCATCTGGAGCAGAAAACAAACAAAATAATGTAGTAATACTCACTAATGGTATCCTCCTCCTCCTCCTCCGCCTCCTCGTCATCATCCTTTGTGGACTTGTTTATTTCAAAGGTGACACCTTTTCTTGCTGGTTTGGCGCTGTGTTTCTTGGCTCGTTGGTCATTCCTTTGGTTTTCCAGAACTTGTGTGAAATGCTGCACCGCAAATTCAACCAAGTTTGGCGGCCTGCGGCGAAGCACCTCCACAGTGTATCCCTGCAAGAGCTCTTTTAGACCAGCTGGTATCTCGACATTACTCATCGTTCAGCTTCAGAGGTCAGAGGTTGAATTTTGATCGTTAATGAGCCAATAACCTCTAGAGGGCCTGCATTTCCACTGAGCTCAGTTATTAATACCTGGAATACCAAATCTCAGCATCAGCAGCACTAAACGTCCGGCAGATTTGGTAAACAATCTTCTGTCCGGACCATCATCACAGGAGCAAACTCACTCCTCCCCCACTGTCATTCAGCAGCTTATTGATTTCTTTATTTAGCGCAGCCTGTCGGAAAGTATTGACCCGGACTTTTCACAGTTGTAATTAAAGGCTGTCCGATGGATTACACATCAGAACTTGATTTGGCAAAGACACAATACACACAGAGAGAGGACTGTTAATCATTTGTATTGGATGTCAGGCTGGTGCTGACATCTGCAAAAACAGGAACCATCACATCCACATGTTTTTTTTAAAGTACACAAGAGATTTCTTTTGTATGGAGGTGTACATTGTTAAATTCAAACTCTTAAACTGCATAGGAGTCTAAAAGAAACAAAAAGTAACTCATCCGTCTGATCTGACATAGGAAAGGGAACGTGACTTAAATGTGATTTTCAACAGGAAATTACACCTGTTCAAAGACGCACTACATTAATCCTTCAGCTGCTTTGGGACATCCCAAACAAATCATTATCGTTTATTTGAACTTGGACAGATGTTCATAAAGTTTTGTAAAATGCACCCTAGATAGAAATCCTGTTTAATTTGGGGAAAATGTTAAATTTCAGATATTACAGTGGCTATTCATACCCCTTGAACTTTTCCACATTTTACAACCACAAATGTAAATGTATTTCATTGGGATTTTATGTGATAGACCAACACAAAGCGGCGCATAATTGTGAAGTGGAAGGAAAGTGATACATGATTTTCAATTTTTTTTTTACAAATAAAAAACTGAAAAGTGTGGTGCGCAAAAGTATTCAGCCCCCCTGAGTCAATACTTTGTAGAACCACCTTTCGCTGCAATTACAGCTGCAAGTCTTTTGGGGTATGTCTCTACCAGCTTGGCACATCTAGAGACTGAAATTTTTGCCCATTCTTCTTTGCAAAATAGCTCAAGCTCAGTCAGATTGGATGGAGAGCGTCTGAACAGCAATTTTCAAGTCTTGCCAGAGATTGTCAGTTGGATTTAGGTCTGGACTTTGACTGGGCCATTCTAACACATGAATATGCTTTGATCTAAACCGTTCGATTGTAGCTCTGGTTGTATGTTTAGGGTTGTTGTCCTGCTGGAAGGTGAACCTCTCTCAAGTCTTTTGCAGACTAACAGGTTTTCTTCCAAGATTGCCCTGTATTTGGCTCCATCCATCTTCCCATCAACTCTGACCAGCTTCCCTGTCCCTGCTGAAGAAAAGCATCCCCACAGCATGATGCTGCCACCACCCCCACCACGTTTCACGGTGGGGATGGTGTGTTCAGGGTGATGTGCAGTGTTAGTTTTCCGCCACACATAGCTTTTTGCATTTAGGCCAGAAACTTAAATTTTGGTCTCATCTGACCAGAGCACCTTCCTCCACATGTTTGCTGTGTCCCCCACATGGTTTGTGGCAAACTGCAAACAGACAGGACTTCTTAGGGCTTTGTTTCAGAACAATGGACTTTCTTGCTTCCCATCTTCCATTAAAGGTGCGATTATGTGGAGGTGATCACGACTGAATAGTTGTTCCTGTGGACATGGATCTCCCACCCTGAGACCTGTGATCTCTGCCAGCTCCTCCAGAGTATTACCATGGCCTCTATGGCTGGCTTCTCTGATCAGTTGCTCTCCTTGCCCGCCGGTTCAGTTTACGTGACGGCCATGTTCTTGGCAGTTTGCAGTTGTTGCCATATACTCTTTCCATTTTCGGATGATGATTGAAAGCGCTGCTCTGTGGAGACTGTTCAGAAAGCCTTGGAATATTTTTTTTATTTATAACCTAACCCTGCTTTTAAACTTCTCCACAACTTCTTCCTCCTGACCTGTCTGGGTGTTTCCTTGCTTCGATGATGTGTTTGTTCACAAATGTTCTAATTAGCACCTCCGAGCCTTCACCAGAACAGCCATGCATTTATATGAGTCAGATTACCACACAGGATTCGACTCGATTTACTAAATTAGTGACTTCTGAACGCAGATTGGTTGCACTGGATTTTATCTTAGGGTATCAGAGTAAAGGGGGCTGAAATACTTTGCACAGCCCACAGCTATTCATTTTTTATTTGTAAAAGAAATTCATGTATCATTTTCCTTCCGACTATCACAATTATGACACCACATTTGTGCTTTGGTCTATCACATAAATTCCCAATAAATCAACATTTACGGTCGTGGTTGTAACATGAGAATGTTGGAAAGTTCAAGGGTCATGAAATACTTCCCCACTTAAACGCTGCAGGTAAAAAGGCCATTAGGACAGAAATACCTTCAGTTGCAGCCTGAACTGATATTATTTACAAAATATTATATTCTGGAAAGAATAACTGGTATTTTCATAAGTTCATGTGCTATTTTTATTGATATTCATGATTTTCACTTTTGATATTCGTTGTACTTATTTGCTTTTGTATAAATCTATATATTTCTCCAATTTATTCATTATCCTCTAGCAGTTGTTTTTTAATAGACAGAGACGAGTAAAGCTTCCATATGTTTTATGGCTAAGAACATTTTTTTGTATGTTTTTTAAGTAAAACACAACTAACAGAGCAGAATTACAAAAATGTGTGACACACGTCTCATTTTTAAAATATGATATCCTCCTCTTTATTGTCTTTACATAGTCAACATTCAATACAGTTCACTCAATCTCATGATGACTACTCTCTAATTTCACAATTAACAAACAGAAAGTGAAGTTAGTATCATAGGTCACTCGGAGGGTATGTGACGTGCAGATGCAATGGACAGTCTGAAAGGCGTGTATTGCCTGAGAGACTGACACGGTAAAACAGTGCACCCTTTTCCCTGATATGTACACTTGTCCACTAAGGTAAACTCAGAAAGGTACAGGCGACAACATGTTCACTGTTTTACTCCTTTTCTTATATAAATAAAAATAACAGAAGTTTTTAAAATAACAATTTAGACAACAAGTTAATACAACACGGGTGAGAACATTCGAACTGTCTGTCTGTGTGTTTAGGTGTTTGATGTTTCTTGGAATACTGGCACAGATTCATTCACAACAGCTCTGAAACCCTCGCAGGTCTCGATGCGCGTGCTCATACAGGAACACAAAAAGTTCGTCAACAGTAATCAGTACATTATATGGGAAAATTATTAAAACCTCTTTCTTATTGTTTGATTCCGCGTGGTGTCGCACTGCTAATCTCTCTTGTTATGTTACACAGCCGATCTCCTGGGAATTCACACTATTGAGGCGACGCTGAGCCCTTCCATCACAGGATTCGGTGCTAGACCAGTTCAGGAACTTCTTTGTCGGAGCTCAAATCCTTAAGAAGAGGTTTTAATAATTTTCCAATAATTTTACTTGATTATCTTTGAAACTTTGTGTCCATGTAGAGCACGCGTAAATCAGACCATGCTGAGGGTGATTCAGAGCTTTTTGTGATGAACTCTGTTTGCCTATGTTCCAAACACAAACACCTACACACACAGACAGACAAGTCTGACAATGTTCTCACTCTCTTGTTTTACTTCTGTTTCTATTCTATTTAAAAATTCTGTTATCTTTTTTTATATCAAAGAAAGGAGTAAACTGAAATGTATCTGTGCCTACTTTTGTTACACTGTTGTGCAAAGTGATACATTATCTCAGTGGACCACGAAGTGTGCACTGTGTCGTACCGGGCAGTCTTCTCAGCAATACACGCCTTTCTAGACGTCCATTGATCACTGCACGGTTCCACCATTACCATACCAAGTTGACCACTGATACTAACTTCACTTTCGTGTTGTTTAATGTGAAATTATTGAGTCAGTAGTCATCATAGATGAGTGAACTGTATTTGGAATGTTGACAGTTGTAAAGAATTTATAAGAGTGAATCCATATTAGCAGAACTGAACGGTGTCACACATTCTTTTTGTAAAATTCCTCTCTATGTTGTGATTTACTAAAAAACATACAAAAATGGTCTTAGCACATAAAAACATAGAAGCTATTACTGTCTCTGATCTATTTAAAACAAACAACGTAGAGGATATAATAAAAAATTGAGAAATAATAGATTATACAAAAGCAAATAGAGACAGACGTGTAATAAGTGACAAAATAATTTGGCATCAATAAATCCTATCAAACAGAATATATAACAAGAAAAGAAAAACCAAGACGTTATTTTCTCCACAATAAATATTTTGTAAATAATACATTCAGGACAGGCCTCAACTGAAGTATTTTGCCTAATGGCCTTTTACCTGCAGCGTTTACAATTGGGAGTAGTTTATATCCCCTTTGAACTTATTCCCATTTCATGTCTACAAACCTACGAACGTTCAAATGTGATTTATATGGGATTTATTTATGACTAGAACCAACACAAAGTGGTGCATAATTGTGAAGTGGAAGGAAAATTGCATACATGACATTTCTTTCTACAAATAAAAAAAAACTGAATAGTGTGGTGTGCAAAAAAGTATAGTTATTCTAGCCCCCCTTTACACTCTGTACCCCCTAAATAAAAATTCCTCAGTGCAACCAATGTCCCTTCAGAAGTCACCTATTAGTAAATCGACTGCCTCACCTGTGTGTTATCTAATCTCAGTTATAAATGCAGCTGTTTGTGAAGACCTCGGAGAGTTACATTAGACACATTAGTGAACAAAAACAGCAATCATTGAAGCCCAAGGGAAACACACCAGAGAAGTCAGGATAAAGTTGTGGAGAAGTTTAAAGCAGGTTAGTTATAAAAAAAAATATTCCAAGCTTTAACACTCACAGAGCAGCGTTCAATCCACATCCGAAAAAAGATGGAAAAGATGTATGGCACAACTGAAACCTGCCAAGCAATGCGCCGATCCACGTAAACTGACAGCG